AGTTGGGAAGGTAGCGGCTTGATAAATTTTCGTGAGCAACGAGTTTACGAAGCAAGTTCCGCCTAGCTCGAGCGATACAGCTCCGCGGATACAACTCGAGCCCCGAACAAGACCCTCCCCCCGTAAAGTTTCGGTCGCTCTGGCCGGCCGCGGGCCGCTCGTAGAAGCAAACGCTGACTCGTGCACTAGAAATCTGCACAGGGGGCTAAGAAAGAAGCAGTTTTCAGATCCAGAAAGCTAGCAGAAATTTGTCTGAAGTTCGTTAGAAGATATGAGCCGGTGAAGTTTGTGAGAAAATGTAACGGAGCTTACTTGTTTTTCTGAAAATTTAGACGAGAGTAGCCGGCGCAAAAATTTGAAAATTTTGACGAAAGTAGCCGGCGCAAAAATTTGAGTAGGCGGCGATTTTCGCCGGTAGCCGGCTTGTTTTGAGAAGGCTGCAGCATCGACTGATAAGTGTCACAACTCTCCTACCAGAGTAAACCAGCCAACCAACCTCGATCTCCTGTCTATTTCCCTTTCCAAGTCCTCCCCCATTCGAAGCTGGTCTGATGTCAGGTCCCGGACAGTCTGGTGGACTTCATGGATCTGCAGAACATTAGGACATTACTGAGGATTTGTCTAAAAGCCTTTAGCACTAAAGGCACCAAATGGATCCTGATGCATTGGCTACTTGTTACAAGGAGAGATATGAATGGGAAGGCCTTACATCATCATCTCCTCCATTGAGAAACCTGACGGTTGACCCAGTTCTTCTTCTTGGCACAGAGGGCTGAAAGAAATCATGATAAGATGGTGATGATCAAGGTCAGTGTTTCCGCCAGAGGGCCGTCCACCCGTCATATGACGGCCTGGTGTTGTTTTGGACGGCCTAAACTCGGACAGAGGCCGTCCTCTTAAAAAATTTCGAGACTCGGAAAAATCAGAGAAACTGACAGTCTTTGTTTTGTTCCTGTAGACGAGGACGCCGTCCAAGGCAAGAAAGACAAACGTTGTTTGTTTTGCTATTGTTATCATGCTGACGAACAATTGATGTCGGCGCCTTTCGCATACGTTAATCTCATTAAAACCCGTTTTCAAGTCTCCATCCGGTAAAATGTATCCACAAACATTTTTCCTCGAACAGAATCATTTCGGATGTGAAAATTCTCTTTTGGGAGTTACGTTTTTGATGGTCTTGTAGCGGGCGGGTTGCATGAAAATCCACGCCGCAGTTCGCTATCCACGCCGCGGTTCGCTAACACTTCCGGCTTGCTTGAATACGCGAAAGGCACCACAAATCGGCATATGGATGCATACATTTTCCCAAAAATTCTTCATAATGAATTTCGTGGCGTGGAATGTTACTAATTAGCGGTAGAAACACCGTAAAAAGTAGCGTAGTGTAACTCTCTTCGCCAACAAACAAATTCTGCAGCTATGCCGGCAAAGATGGCTCTATCCAATCAGAGCGCAGGTCATATGAGGTCAACCAATCAGAGTGTAGAGTTCACGCTGCTACTTACATATTAATGACAAAATGGCGCGTATTCCTTCTCTCCGGCGAGGTTGAGAATGTGTGCTGCGAGTTCATTTTTCCGGCGCTTTTCTGACTTTTAACGCCGATTTTTCGCACGCTACGATCACGCTACCATTTGACACTGTACTGGAGACAACAGATGAGTGATCATTTTACAATCAAGGAGCATTTTTGTTGAATGAAACAGCAACGAAAGCTACGATACAGCCAATTATTTTTCAAAATTTGTCTCGTGTATGAGAGATAAGATGACGTTTCTTTACATGTTTTGACGTATTTTTGGCTTGATATTAACTAGTAATTCGTAGCGGAAATGTACGGAAGAAGTACGAGTACGAACAAAGCAAGGCTCTTCACTATTAAAGATCCGGCTAGCGCGGGCGCTACCGGAGGTTATAATTAAATGATGCCGATGTTTGGAGTTTTGCAGCAGAGTTTTGCAACAGTATAATTTCCTGACGATACGTTTGCCATCTGTAACAGTGTTTTTATGTCAATACATAAAAATGTGGAATGCTTGTGGACAGTTTCAACTTGTAAACAAGTGTAAACAAATGCCCCGCCCCCTCAGTTAATTTTCGCGACGTGTTCCCTAAGTTAATTAATTTTCGCGACCCGGCCCTTCCCAACTGGACGGCCTCTCAGCTGCAGTCTGGCGGAAACACTGATCAAGGTAAATGCAAATATTGAGAGAAGCTGCCAGATTTAAGCATAAAATGAAGGAGAAGTCATTTGGGGAAACTCCTACTCCTACCATACCTCATAATTTCTCAATGGTGACGTTGGTCTGTATCTTCTTGTTTCTGGAAATGTAAAGTAAGAAAAATAAACCTTCAGTTTGGAAATAAACACATAGCTTATATGGAGATGTCAGGGTCAATATGATCTATAGAGATGAGTCTTCTAATGATGCTCAGATTTAAGGTTTGGTTCTGAA